GAGATTTTTCCGTCGAAGTCAATATCCGATATTTTGTATCCTGAGGCAACTCGTCAAAAGTTGCTGTACCGAAAATTAAGACGAAGTCCTCTTTTCCCATAGATGGTCACAGATATTTTTACAATGTAGAGGGCACATTTCTGTGCAATGAGGGAAAAAGCCGTGTGAACATTCGAAGCAAACGAAAGTTTCTCCGATAAAGTACGTGTATTTGAGGGAATAACGTACATTTTTTCTGGACGTATTCAGATATTTTAGACTGCATTGCGCATAGAATTTTTCGGAAAATTGGAAAAACGGTGTCCACAAATTTCCCAGAAAGTATTCTATCACAGGAAAGTTGGTAGCATCGAAAGGATTATACGGCCTTCTTTCTCAGCAACTTAATAAGCGTAAAAAGTATCGTATAAACATTCGAGCGTTGACAAATCTCCTCTGGGTCGATATTAATCTCATAGAAAAGTTCCAAATAGTCTTCTTTTGAATTTTTAGGCACCTGATACATTTTTTATAAATCTCTGGAAAACAGGATGAAAAAATAATACAATTTTCTAGGAAATTCTTATCGAAGGCGATTTAGCAACGTCCGAAAGCTCATACGGTGTTTCCCTTTCGTACATGCCACATTCGGAAGTAAGATGGAGCAAAGGGCACCTTGTACTGCTGTGCTAAGGAAGAACGTCGCATGAGCTTTCAGACGTTGTCAAATTTTCTGCGATAAAATACGAATTTTCAATGAAAATGGTAGATATTTTTCCTCCAATTTTTCGGAGAATTTCACTTGCAGCTTAATTTAAATTATACAAAAATTTAAAGGAATAATATACACAACTTTCCTCAAAAATTACTCATTTATCAGGGACAATTTGTCAACTTCTGAAAGTTTATACGGCGTTTTGCCTTAGCTCGACGGTAGAGGATGTCGGCGGCATGCGTCCGAGGGAAAGGCGGGAAAATGATATTGAATTTATAATGAGAGTATAATGACCAGGCATGATAGAAGGCGAGAATCCTGACAGTGTAAGGATGACACGCGCCTCTGGACCCGGCCAAGCTCACCCAGTGCCCCGTACCCTCTTCCACGTGCATCCATCCTTCCTCGTTGATGATGCATCGACGCGTGAGTAAATAGTTGTCAGAGGCTTTGAATCTTTCACCTATTCAATTGGAGACCGGGTCAAAGCGAGCAAGGCTCCTGGCCACCTTGTGATAGAATACATTCAAATGAGAAAGGATCACTCTTCAGAGTATCTCACAATCAGGGTTAAACGACGACTGCAGTGTGTTGATTTTTGACATTGATAGACAAAGCGATAGACAAAGAAGACACAGGGAGTATAGAGCGATAGTATAGGTAGAGTATAGAGGAATCACTCTACAGAGTATCTCACAATCAGGGTTAAACGACGACTGCAGTGTGTTGATTTTTGACATTGATAGACAAAGCGATAGACAAAGAAGACATAGGGAGTATAGAGCGATAGTATAGGTAGAGTATAGAGGAATCACTCTACAGAGTATCTCACAATCAGGGTTAAACGACGACTGCATCAGTGTGTTGATTTTTGACATTGATAGACAAAGCAATAGACAAATCGATAGACAATGAAGACATAGGGAGTATAGAGCGATTCTATTTACAGTGTGTTGGATATTTTTAGCCAAAGTGCGGTAAAAAACCAGCATAAAGCTGATATCTCAATACAGAGGGGAAAAGCTCATTCTTAAGCACAATTCCCTTCAAGAGAAACGGTGTGTAGTGCAATACTGGTAACAACCATTCAGGAATTTTTGATTTAATCAATTTACAAAGCACGTTGGCTAAAAAACTCCAACATTTTGTCTTACGACCCGTGCGTCCACCGCAATCAGTTTGTGCGATTCCATCGGTTCAAATAGGAAGTTCCTATAGACTAAGGGAGAAAATGTTGGACTGACTATAAGCAATCTTACACTGTTAGTTAGTAAGTTTAGTTAGTTAGGTTAGTCTATTACCTATTTCTTTTGTGCATTGCGACCACCCGTTTGCACCAATAGGATCCCTCTACATTCCTTGTCTTCTTTGTCTGTAGCTTCGTCAATCAATTTCAATAATCGGCCCGCAGAATGATCCTATTGGTTGAAATGGGTGGTTGTTACGGACTAAATTATGAACTAACTATTACTCCAAATTGTGATAGTCAATTTCACCGTTCCGGGACCTGTAATAGCCGTATGCATTGGTTCAAGCATTTTCATTCGGCTCCAGCTGCAGACGCACATTACATTATTCTACTCGCAGATTAGTATTTTGAGCTCTCTCTGACGAGTTCGCCTTCGAAAACTTGATAGGCAATTAGAGCGTATTTGGAGCAGTAATAGTTGCTCGCACCCGTTTAAACGCGCGCGCATTCGGTTTTAGCCGGAACAGCACATGGAATCATATATCAGCCACAGTGTTTTACAGCAACTTAACCAGTTTTCCTTCAAAAATTCGAAAGGCATTTTGAGCGTCTTTTGAGCGGTAATAGTAGCTTAAGCAACAGTTTGACCATGTTTCTTTTCGGTTGCAGCAGGAAGAGTACATAAATTCACCTCAGCCACAGTGTTATAGACCGACTTTAACCAGTTTGCCTTTAAACATTTGATAGGCAATTTGAGTTATTTTGCAGCGGTAATAGTCGCTTCCACCAGTTTGGCCGTGTTCATTCGGCTCTGGTAGGAAGAGTGCAGGGGCGTCGCCCGATTCCCCCCCCCCCAAAAAAAAAAAAAAAACTCCCTCCCAAGATTCCCTTTCGGATCCGATTCCCTCCCAATAAATTACTTCTAAGTAAAAACGGAAGAAAAATCAGCGATACTTTCAGTTAGGAATCCCTGTGATTTTTCCTGATAAACATGCAATTTGCCAGGTGAAATTCGGCAACATTGAAAAGTAGCTACGTTCTTTCGCGAAGAAAACGACGGAATTTCAACTGTTTGACCAGCGGGCCGATTATTGAAATTGATAGGCAAAGCTATAGACAATGAAGACAAAAGGGATTTAGAGGGGTCCTATTGGAGGAAGCGGGTGGGACGTGTGCAAGGGACAAAGGCGGAAAGGAATACACTAACTAACGGAAACCTTCGAGAGACCCTTTAGTTAGTCCATCATTTACCCCCTTAGTCTATAAGAACCACCCGTTTCAACCAAAAATATCGCTCCATACTCCTATGTCTATAGCTTTGTCTATCCATTTCAATAAGCAGGCCGTAGAAGTGATAGAAACGGTCCCAACTGAAGCGAACGAAAGTCGATTCATTTTCGGCACTTTAACAAGGCAAAGCCTAGCCACGAACGTTCGTCTTGTGTGCGTGCTATATTGGTAGACGAGAGAAATAAGAGGGCGACCGTTTAATTGTTGATTTCCTCATTGTCTCGGTCTGCCCATCAATCAATAGCGATGGGATCTTGAGGGGTTGGTAGCTGAGTTTTACGAGACAAAAAACGTATCTACCATAAGCTCTTAAGTATGGTGCATTTATTCCTCCTTGTTTCTCTCTCGATTTCTGTCGTCTTCGCCATCCCTCCGTGCAAAAGAAAATACGGTGGAGATCTTTGAAATATCTTCAACTGTCTTCCCACAAATTAAGAAAATCATCACTGAGTGTACTCTACCAGGAAGAAACGGTTCTAACGAGTGAGGTTATTGATGGAAACTGAATCCCTTTTTTTGGAGGGAGGGAGATAGGCTTACTTTCTTAATGGAATGTTTTACCCAGCCTACAGTATTTAAAGAGAAGAGCGGTTCAAAACCTAAAAAGCGCCATCAAATGTTGCTGAAAAGACAAGCTTGTCCAACTAGTTATTTCTCTCATATAATAAGGATGTAGTGACCCAAGAATAACAATTTTTGTCCGAAAATAAGGTTGGAAATTTAGAGAGTATTTCTTTTTAAAATTTCACGAAATAGGGCATTTCTTCTGTGCGTGCTAAGGAAAAACGCTGTTTGAGCCTTCAGACGTTGCCCTATTTCCTTCGATAAAAATTGTATTTACTGAGAAGATTCTGAATATTTTCCTTCCAACTTTTCAGATAATTTTGTTCAAAATTGATTCTATAATATCTGAAAATTCCACGGACAGACATACATAACTTGCCTCACAAATAAACTTTTTATCGAGAAAGATTTGGCCACGTCTCACCGAAAAAAAGAGGTGCTGGAGTAACATCCTGGATGGTAAAAAAATGTGCGACAACTTTTGGATGTTGTCATCACCACTCTGGCTGTCTGGCATCTTGAGATGTTACTTTTACATCCCATCATGCTACGTTAACTGCCAGAGTATGAATGGCAACATCCAAGAGTTGTCGCACATTCGTTTAACAACTGTGACATCCGGGATGTTATTACAGCATCTTTTTTTTTTTGGTGTAAAGGCTCATACGTCGTTTTTCCTTAGGACGGCAGATTTAGGTAGACTTCATAGAGAGAAACACAGCAGTAAAAACAGTTTGTTAAAGGTTGCGTACGCCGCTCGCTCTAAAAAATACTGCTAAATTCTATGAAACTCAGCAAAATGAAATTTCATTTTACATAGCTGCACCCTAATCCTTTGCAAGGTGGAGGATCGATGGAGGGGGGCAGGGGGGATGCCCGGGTGGAATCCCCGCTGCGTTCGTTTTTTTTAGCATCTCTATTTCCACGGGAAAAATGATCAATCTGTCGCGAGGTCAACCAGGAGGCCTGTAAACAGAGACTCAACGGAGAGCGGGATTAATCACGGTAGTGATCGACGAGGTTTCATTTCGACGCGTTTATGGCAAAAGCAACCATGTCGCAGCCAATCCCTACGCACATAGCTCCTTTCAGCATAAATACGTCTATTTTAGCACTGATAAGGGACAGGGGAGCGATGGCTCGCTAATCCAATTTGCGTTGCGGCTCATTAAAATGGCTCCGGCTCAATCTCCGCAGGGAGGCGGGATCCTCCCGTTTCTTCAAGAATACTAATTATCCTGGTTTTCCTTTTTTTTGTTTCAGATCCTTCGAGGACATTAACCGAGGCGATTTTTCCCGAACGAGGAACCTGACGTTGAAGCGAATCGCCACGTCGAAGCCCGAGTATGAACCTCCCCCGACTGGAAGTAATAAATAGCTGAAAATTATCCCCGCAACGGTAATTTTTGTGACAAACGATAAGCAGAAGGCACCCGCTTCTGGATTCAGACTCATTAAGGGAGAAATAATTATCGGGACCAGACGCGAGAGGCGCTGCTGTCGTTCCTTTTTTCTGAAAAGCGTTTTCCGCAGCACTCGTTATGAAAGTTTCGCACTCTCACTCCGTAACCTTTTGACCGGAGATTTTATCTAATTACTCGCTCCCTCTCTCTGGGGTTTTCCTCTTGGTGTAGTGCGTTGCCCCCGTCCTCAAAATCTGAACCCGTTTGACAAATTTTCATCCGGGTGTGAATATCGCGCGGTGTGCGGGAAAATGCTAGGGTGACCGTGCGAATTATCCTCGCGGATCGGACCGAGTCGGTGATTTTTAATTTCCTGCCGAAATCGCGCGTTCGGAATGAGGTTATGCCCGGGGGTGGATTTTTTCCGCAGTCTGTGGAGGATTACGCTGCCCCGTGATTGATGATCCGCGCTGGTGTTGTGTGTCGCGTTGTGCGCGTTTCCGTGGCCCCCGTTCGATTCGAATGTTTGTGTTGTTATCGTAACGTCTGCCCGTGCGCCAGCTCCGCCAAATGAGTTTGGATATGCTTTGGCTCTGCGGTCTCTTCCTCACCGCCTCGTTCTGCATCACCGCTTCGTCACAAGGTAAGCCCAGCCCTCTCCTCTCATCCCCGAACTCCGATTGACTCTCTTGAATCCTATGACGTCCATTCAAATTTCAGTATGAGTCAGTCGTGTTTGTGTCATCATGAGCGGAACTAGGAACTTTTGGGTGGGGGCAGCAGGATTTTTCACCATGGGGAGTCTGGGGGGCCTAGAAGCACTTAAAACAATTACTAACAAAAAGTCACTGGCTACTTATATGACATACCGTGCTTCCGGGCTCAGAGGCCGAAAGTTCCGGGTGCATGAGCGGTAGCTTCGACTGCTGCGGGTGCTACACCCAGGAACTTTCAGCCTCGGAGCCCGGAACGCGGACGGTATGTCCATACAGTCCATAAGTACGGCTTCCGCAACCGGAGTTTTTTTCAGTTAAAAAACCTTCCTAAAGGGGGGTGTGGGACTTCACCAGCTTCGGAAAAGGGTTCGGGGAACTTTCCTAGCTCCATTGGAGGGTTCAATGAGGGCCTTCCCGGGAAAGTGATGAAACATTGAGATGTTTCAGAACCAATTTATAGCTGTTCCTACTTAAAAATTGGGTGAGATTCAACCTCTAAAATGGAAGATACTCGTATGTCACGGATTTATTAGTGAAATTCCTCGCATTTTTTGGAGTGATGAAGTTGATTTTTGGGGAAAGGACTAGGCCTCCGCCCGCCTCTCCTAATGCACCCCCCTGGTTTGCCATAAAATTGCTTATAGTTGACGAAGTACAGGTATCAGAGAGGACCCATATCAGTTCAAGCGCCACGTCTCTGTATCTGTCATTAATGTAAACATGCACTGAAAAAGTCGGTGTTCTGTATCATCGAAGCAGCTGATTTTGACCTCTAGCCAACCTATTTTATGCTGCACCTTAAGAAAATTGGCATTAAATACTACTAAATCGATGCATTGATTTGATGTCGTGGAAGTAAGTGCGCAACACCAGCTCTTTGAAGTTCAACACAAATTTTTTTAGTAGCGCCAATTCGTTGGTGCAAAGACCAGGTTTCTTGGTTTGCACCCCCGCTAACCGGGCTAACCCTGACTTCAGCTTTCATCCAGGCGTGAGCTAAATCAGGTTCTGCTCACACTTGATTTTAAATTTTAAATCCCGCTCCTCAGAAGTCATAAAAATGTCAGCTGAATCTTTCAGCCGCCGCAACACCTTCGAACCCCGTTTATCCTCGAAGAAGAGCACCGAGACTAACTTTCTTTATCGCTCCTTAAGTGCCTTTTCATTGCGGGTTTCAAATTCGCAAATAAGGGAGTGAAGTGCTCACAGTTTTGCAAGCTTGGAGTGCTCCTCTNCTACGTCACCGTGATTTTTGACGCAGAGCGGAGCGATGCCGCGCTAAGGGAAAAACGCCGCATGAGCCATTAGACGTTGCCAAATTGCCTCCGTTAAAATTCAAATTTTCAGGAAAACCCGTATACATATAGTAGATAAGATCCGTATACATATACGTAGATAAGTTGATTATAATGAAGACAAAGATAATTAGTTTAATCATTTTATCAGTGTAATTGATATACTTTTATTTAGTTATTAGTCTTTTTAAAGATTAGATATTTTCAATCTAACTTTAATTTGACAAATTAATATTATTTTATATTTTAACTAAATCTTTAAGTTATTAACTTAATAAAATTAATTAATTTACCTAACTTCAAAGGTTATTGTTTAAATGGACCTTAAATCTATGACAACTTCCTCCAACTTTTCGGCTGATTTTATTCACCATTAGACAGGGTTGCAATTTTTTATGAAACATAAAGTCTTGAAATTTTATGTGAAATATTTCATGAAATTGCAGACACCATGAAAACTAGTTTTACATCAAATGGGAGGCGAATGGTTTTTGCTTTTTCCTACTATTTAGGGCGTGTTGCATACGCAGCCCCTGAAAATATGCTTCATATTTTTCACAACTTCGTGAAACATTTCATGAAATTCCACGGAAATTTTCAATATGTCATATTTTTCATTTCAACCGTGCAACCCTGCTATTAGATCTAAATAATCCGGAAATTTCAATAGAGAAGATTCGTAACTTTCTTCAAAAATAAAAATTTTTTATAGAAGGAAATTTGGCAATTGTCGAATGTACTTACGGCGTTCTTTCGTAGCACGGCAGAGCGGAGCTTCAGAGGGTCGAACACTGCCAAAAATTCCCGGCGTTTTTACCAAGGTCCGTTGGTACCTTTACCATCTCACTTTTTTTTTACCAATTATTGGTAATTTTACTAAGACATACTGGTAAGCTTACCTAAAAACCGGTATTTTTACTGTTTTTTTTTTTTTTCAGGTAAGAATACCACTTTCATTGGTAATCAATTTCCGGTAACTTTGTCATTTTATCTCGGTAATTCTACCACAGTCGATAAAAAATATTGGCGTTTTTACCAAGGTCCAGTAAAATTACCGACTAAGTTCAATAATTTTACCGAGATTTCTCGATAAAATTGCCGATTCCATAAATGGTAATTTTACCAAGAAAAAACCGGGATCAAATAGAACCCTAAATTCTCGGTAATTTTACCCTTTTCTTAGTAAATACACCGAGATTTTTTTTTCGGTGTACATACGGCGTTCTTCCATACTGCCGTGCTAAGGAAAAACGCCGTATGGACCTTCTAGCGTTGTGAAATTTCCTTCGATAAAAACCGAATTTACTGAGAAAATTGTGAATATTTTTTTTCCAAAAATTTCAGAAAATTTTGTACGCAATATTATCTAAAATATCTGAAAGTTTCAGAGAAAAATGTGCATGGTTTTCGTCAAAAATACATGTTTTATCACGGGAAATTTGGCAACTCTCAAATGTTCATACGGCGTTCTTCCGTAGCACGGCAGCATAGTACGATAGAGCGGAGAGTCAGAGGGTCGAATCGACAACTGTGTTTCCTCTTTTCACCGCGTGCACCTTTTTAAAGGCTCGACTTCATTAAACAGTTCTTACTTTTCGCGTTCGTGCCTCTCGCGCCGGAGAGGGTGTGAGCCTCGCGCCGGTGTTTCGTGCCGCGGCGAATACGTTCCTCGCTCACCGTCGGTGGCGAGTCACTGAACTTGCTGTTGCGTGTGAATTAGGGCGCTGCGGGAAAAAGAAAAAAAACTACCCCCAGAAGAGCGCCGGAATGTTTCGAACAATTTCGGAAAACCGTGCAACGCGTCATCGACTATCGCCGCGGCGGCTTTTTTTTCGCCTGCTTTAATTGGATTTTGTTAGCGGTGGGGTTGCTTTTTCATTCCCGGAAAATGAAAAATTGTGACGAATATATTGCCGGGTTAAGATGACACGCCGTAAGAACCATCGGACTTTGCCGAAATTCCTCTGATAAAAAACGAATTTTCGGGGAAACTTACGAATGTTCTCCTTTCATAAATTTGGAGATTTTCGCACACTGAAAAAACAATCTCGGTGTATTTACTAAGAAAAGGGTAAAATTACCAAGAATTCAGGGCTCTATTTGATCCCAGTTTTTCTTGGTAAAATTACCATTTATAGGATTGGTAATTTTACCGAGAAATCTCGGTAAAATTATTGAACTTTCTCGGTAATTTTACTGGACCTTGGTAAAAACGCCAATATTTTTTATCGACTGAGGTAGAATTACCGAGATAAAATGGCAAAGTTGCCGAGAATTGATTACCAATAAAAGTAGTATTCTTACCTGAAAAAAACAGTAGCGATACCGGTTTTTAGGTAAGCTTACCAGTCTGTCTTAGTAAAATTATCAATAATTGGTAAAAAAAGTGAGATGGTAAAGGTACCATTGAACCATGGTAAAGACGCCGAGAATTTTTTTTCAGTGCAATTGAATCTTTCTATGGCAATCTCAAGAAGAAATATTCATAACTTTCCTTGAAAATGAATATTTATTGGGAGAAATCGGGCATTTTCCGAATGTTTACATGACGTTTCTCCTCAGTGCAGCAGCACATTTTACCGTCCCTTTTAAAAGGTTGGGCGACAATTTTTATGCCAATACTGTCATAGTAAGGCAGAACACCGTATAAACCATCAGGCGTTGCCAAATTTCCTTTGAGAAATCATACCTTTTCCGGGAAATTTGTGAATAATTTACCCTCGATTTCTTGGAGGGTTTTTCGTAATTTGATCCAAAAAGTCTGATTTCAAGGGAGAATATTCATAACATTCCTCATAAATAAATATTTTCTGAGAGTAAATTTGGCAAAATTTGAATGCTTATACGGAGTTTTTACTTAGCACGGTAGAATAGAGGACGGTAAGTAGCATTCTAATTCGGTTATTTCATACCCTGAACAAGGCAGATTATATAATTTGTAGTGGCTTTTCCTGGAATTTAAGTTTTTTTGAACTGGAAATTTTTAAACTGCCATAATTCTAGTTTGATTTGTCATTTTTGGGTGCTTTTTTCCAAACATTCCCAAAACTCCCTCTAATTACACAATCGAGGTCAGCGATTCTGATTAACGTAGTTCTGAGAAAAAGCTATTTTGAAAATTTTCAACCGTCAAGTTTAGGGCATGAAATTGCTTGATTATAGTGTACCTCTTACGCCTGCACAAAACTGAAGTAAACAATTAGTAACTTGGTCTTCAGTACGCTGGAAATTTAGTTCCATAGAAATCTTACGATCCGATATTTCGATCCCACTCTACAAAGATCGTCACTTTACCAAAAACTTTGTACTCATGTCCCTGTTCCTGTAGACAATCAAACGCATGAACAGCTAGTGATAGGATATCTGCTTTACTTAGCTTTTTGCCAAAGAGATGAATGAATAATGAGGAATCAAAATAAAAAAAATGTAACTAAAATTAATACATCAACATAATTTCTCCAAACTTACAACGTTGCGCGTATACAACGTGTACTTTTACTTAAATCCCACCTCGCGGATCGCTTCGAATCCAAACATTGTGAGCCAAAACGCTTTCGCTCGACAAAAACTCAAAACACATGCAACCGAAAATGAGCAAATTTGAGTCATGAAAATATAAGACGTCGTCGCTT